ATAAGACACACCGTAGAGAAGCTTTTCAAATGTAAAGAATATGGAAAAGCCTTTAACCAATGCTCACACATTACTGAACATAGCAGAATTTTTACTGGAGAGAAATATTACAAGTGTGAAGAATGTGGCAAAGCCTTTAGCCATTTTGCACATCTTAGTGCACATAAAAGACTTCACACTGGAGCGAAACCCTACAAATGTGAGGAATGTGGCAAATCCTTTAAACGGTACTCATACCTCTCTGAACATGAGAGAGTGCATACTGGAGAGAAACCATACAAATGTGAAGAATGTGGCAAAGCCTTTAAATATTGCTCAGGACTTTGTCGTCATAAGAGAATTCGTATGGGAGAGAAAGCCTACAAATGTGAAGAATGTGGCAAATCCTTTAAACGGTACTCATACCTCTCTAAACATAAGAGAGTGCATACTGGAGAGAAACCGTACAAATGTGAAGAATGTGGCAAAGCCTTTAAATATTGCTCAGGATTTTATTTTCATAAGAGAATTCATATGGGAGAGAAAGCCTACAAATGTGAAGAATGTGGCAAATCCTTTAAACAGTACTCATACCTCTCTAAACATAAGAGAGTGCATACTGGAGAGAAACCGTACAAATGTGAAGAATGTGGCAAAGCCTTTAAATATTGCTCAGGACTTTGTCGTCATAAGAGCATTCATACAGGAAAGAAAGCCTACAAATGTGAAGAATGTGGCAAATCCTTTAAACGGTACTCATACCTCTCTGAACATAAGAGAGTGCATACTGGAGAGAAACCGTACAAATGTGAAAAATGTGGCAAAGCCTTTAAATATTCCTCAGGATTTTATCGTCATAAGAGAATTCATACTGGAGAGAAACCCTACAAATGTGAAGAGTGTGGCAAAGCTTTTAAACAGTACTCACACCTCACTGGGCATAAGAGAATTCATACTGAAGAGAAACCCTACAAATGTGAAGAATGTGACAAAGCTTTTAAAGAGTACTCATACCTCACTGGGCATAAGAGAATTCATACAGAAGAGAAACCCTACAAATGTGAAGAATGTGGCAAAGTTTTTAAATATCGCCCAAGCCTTTCTCATCATGAGAAAATCCACACTGGCGTGACACAGTAAAAATGTGAAGAATGTGGCAAAGCCTTTAGCCATTACTCACAACTTAGGGTACATGAAAGAATTCACACTGGAGAGAAACCCTGGAAATGTGAAGAATGTGGCAAAACCTTTACCTGGTGCTCTTATCTTACTATACATGAGATAATTCACACATGAGAAAAACCTTACAAATATAAAGGATGTGGAAACACCTTTAGTAACTGCGCACATATTACTTAACATCAGAGAGTTCATATTGTATAAAAGTGGTGTAAACATAATGTCAGCTGAAATACCTTTCACAGGATAAAATTCTCGGAGTATATTATAGTATTACTACAGGGGAAAAAAAAAACCATCACAGCCATAAAGAATGGTGTAATACCTTTACTTATATCATGCATCTTATCGTATACAGGAAAATTCATACTGGGAGGGAACCCTCCAACAGTTGCTCAAACTTTCTTCAGAGGATTTGGATTTGAGAGAAACCCTACAAATGTATTGAATCCATAA